CTTGCACTAGCCCACCTTTCTGCCAATAGTCGCTTATATCTCACCCGAACTTCCTCCTCCCTTAGTTTATACACTTTCACTTCCCTCTTACTTGTTGTTGCCACCTTCCTCTTTTCCCATCTACCTCTTACTCTAACTGTAGCTACAACTAAATAATGATCCGAATATATCAGTTGCCCCTCTATAAACATGTACATCCTGGAGCCTACCCATCAACCTTTTATCCACCAATACATAATCTAATAAACTACTTTCATTACGTGCTACATCATACCTTGTATATTTATTTATCCTCTTTTCATAAAATATGTATTACTTATTACCAAATTTCTTTCTAACACATAGCTCAATTAAAGGCTCCCCATTTACATTTACCCCTGGCACCCCAAATTTACCTACTACTCCCTCCATAACATTTTTACCCACTTTAGCATTAAAATCCCCAACCACCATTACTCTCACACTTGATTCAAAACTCCCCACGCATTCACTCAACATTTCCCAAAATCTCTCTCTCTCCTCTACACTTCTCTCTTCTCCAGGTGCATACACGCTTATTATAACCCACTTTTCACATCCAATCTTTATTTTACTCCACATAATCCTTGAATTAATACATTTATAGTCCCTCTTTTCCTGCCATAGCTTATCCTTCAACATTATTGCTACTCCTTCTTTAGCTCTAACTCTATTTAAAACCCCCTGACCTAATCCCATTTATTCCTCTCCACTGAAACTCTCCCACCCCCTTCAGCTTTGTTTCACTTAAAGCCAGGACATCCAGCTTTTTTCTCATTCATAACATCCACAATCATCTCTTTCTTATCATCTGCACAACATCCACGCACATTCAGACTTCCCACTTTGACAATTTTCTTCTTCTTATTCTTTTTAGTAATCTTTACAGGAAAAGGGGTTACTAGCCCATTGTTCCCGGCATTTTAGTTGACTTTTACAACACGCATGGCTTACGGAGGAAAGATTCTTATTCCACTTCCCCATGGATATAAAAGGAAAATTAATAAGACCAAGAACTATTAAGATAAAATCAAAGAAAACTCAGATGAGTGTGTATAAATAAATGTGTACATGTATGTGTAGTGTGACCTAAGTGTAAGTAGAAGTAGCAAGACATGCCTGTAATCTTGCATATTTATGAGACAGACAAAAGACATCAGCAATCCTACCATCATGTAAAACAATCACAGGCTTCGTTTTACACTCACTTGGCAGGACGGTAGTACCTCCCTGGGTGGTTGCTGTCTACCAACCTACTACCTATCATATGCCTTTTCTAAATCCATAAATGCAATAAAAACTTCCCTACCTTTATCTAAATACTGTTCACATATATGCTTCAATGTAAACACTTGATCTACACATCCCCTACCCACTCTGAAGCCTCCTTGCTCATTCGCAATCCTACATTGTCTTACCTCTAATTCTTTCAATTATAACCCTACCGTATACTTTTCCTGGTATACTCAGTAATATTAATATTATTATTATTATTATTAATTATTAATATTATTAATGTTAATATTATTATTATTATTATTATTAGCAGTAGCAGAAATGTTTGATTCTTTGATGTGTTCAAGAGTAAACACATGATGTCACCTTCCAATACCTGTCCGAATAGCCATTCTAATATGCAGTCATGGATGGGTTTACATTATTTATACTGTAGTTTAATAGCAAATAATGAACAAACAAAACACTCACCACACAGTGGTGGGAGGGCTGGCTGTCAGTTGCAGGGGCCGGAGGGAGGGTAGTAAGGACTCGTGGCGGTAAACTTAAATATGATTTGGAAGCTGGGAATTTGGCGGTTGGGAATTCGCGAATGTGTGAAGCCCGCGAAAGTTGAAAACGCGAATGTTGAGCGAGACCTGTATATCTCTCCACTAAATATATATACTAAATGCTGTAAAGAGTTTTTATGAGGATAGTGAGGCTCGGGTTAGGGTATGTAGAAGAGAGGGAGACTACTTCCCGGTAAAAGTAGGTCTTAGACAGGGATGTGTAATGTCACCATAGTTGTTTAATATATTTATAGATGGGGTTGTAAAAGAAGTAAATGCTAGGGTGTTCGGGAGAGGGGTGGGATTAAATTATGGGGAATTAAATACAAAATGGGAAGTGACACAATTACTTTTTGCTGATGATACTGTGCTTATGGGAGATTCTAAAGAAAAATTGCAAAGGTTAGTGGACGAATTTGGGAATGTGTATAAATGTAGAAAGTTGAAAGTGAACATAGAAAAGAGTAAGGTGATGAGAGTATCAAATGATTTAGATAAAGAAAAATTTGATATCAAATTGGGGAAGAGTAGTATGGAAGAAGTGAATGCTTTCAGATACTTGGGAGTTGATGTGTCAGCGGATGGATTTATGAAGGATGAGGTTAATCATAGAATTGATGAAGGAAAAAAGGTGAGTGGTGCATTGAGGTATATGTGGAGTAAAAAATGTTGTCTATGGAGGCAAAGAAGGGAATGTATGAAAGTATAGTAGTACCAACACACTTAAATGGGTGTGAAGCTTGGGTTGTAAATGCTGCAGCGAGGAGGCAGTTGGAGGCAGTGGAGATATCCTGTCTAAGAGCAATGTGTGGTGTAAATATTATGCAGAAAATTCAAGAGTGTGGAAATTAGATGGTGTGGAGTTAATAAAAGTATTAGTCAGAGGGCTGAAGAAGGTTTGTTGAGGTGGTTTGGTCATTTAGAGAGAATGGATCAAAGTAGAATGACATGGAGAGCGTATAAATCTGTAGGGAAAGGAAGGCGGGGTAGGGGTCATCCTTGAAAAGGTTGGAGGGAGGGGGTAAAGGAGGTGTTGTGGGCGAGGGGTTTGGACTTCCAGCAAGCGTGTGTGAGCGTGTTAGATAGGAGTGAATGGAGACAAATGGTATTTGGGACCTGACGATCTGTTGGAGTGTGAGCAGGGTAATATTTAGTCAAGGGATTCAGGGAAACCGGTTATTTTATATAACCGGACTTGAGTCCTGGAAATGGGAAGTACAATGCTTGCACTTTAAAGGAGGGGTTTGGGATATTGGCAGTTTGGAGAGATATGTTGTGTATTTTTATACGTATATACTTCTAAACTGTTGTATTCTGGGCACCTCTGCAAAAACAATGATTATGTGTGAGTGAGGTGAAAGTGTTGAATGATGATAAAAGTATTTTCTTTTTGGGGATTTTCTTTCTCTTTGGGTCACCCTGCCTCGGTGGGAGACGGCCGACTTGTTAAGAAAAAAAAAAATACACACCCCTCCTGGGTTTTCTTCTATTTTCCTACTAGTTCCTGTTCTTGTTTATTTCCTCTTATCTCCATGGGAAAGTGGAACAGAATTCTTCCTCCGTAAGCCATGCACGTCGTAAGAGGCGACTAAAATGCCGGGAGCAAGGGGCTAGTAACCCCTTCTCCTGTGTACATTATTAAAGTTAAGAAGAGAAACTTTTGTTTTTCTTTTTTTGCCACCCTTCTTCGGTGGGATATGGCCAGTGCGTTGAAAGAAGAATCTACCGTATTTTTATGTAAAAGTTTCAGAACTGAGTTTGTGGTAACTGATTATACCGTAGTATTAATTTACCATGTAATATTATATCATTAATGAAAAGATGTATTTATTATCAGATATCCTTGATATCTGTCCAAGTCAGACTAAACACTGTAAATAAGTTTCATTCTTCTCTATGTGGGTTATTAGTGTATTGTTCCAGTTAAGGTATTGTGCCTTTTAGTTCTTTATTTAAATATTACATGGTAGATTATACCCTGAAGGGGAAACAATTTTTTTTCCTTAAGGTTTTCATTTGTAACTTGAAAGGACTCATTTAACCTGCTTCAAATTTTACACACTGATGTATTGTAATTATGGGAAGGTTCATGGAACTATTCTGACTGGCTGGTCAATCTTTAATGGCTGATGAATCTCATGAAAAGGTTGGTACCTTTTGGATTTAGATTGTGTAGGACCAAATTTTCCAATTAATTAACGTGCCTAATAAATTTAAAATTGTTGGATCCTCTGTGATAACAAGGAATGCAACTTCTGGTAGACTTCAGACTGTTAGTGCAAGTAAGTTTTTTGCAAAACAAGCTTTGTATTAATTTTGTGTTGTGCAAGTCTTAATTTTCCAGTTTTTTAAAACACATTGGTTTGTGAGCAATAACTGGAGGAGAACTATGCTGATCTGCTTTATACCTGTACACTTGCTTGGCAGGATGGTAGTACCTCCCTGAGTGGTTGCTGTCTACCAGCCTACTACCTAGATCCTACTTACAGGTTTATATTGATTGTTCACTGTCTAGGTGCCAATTTGCCAGTTTTATTGAATTGGAAAAATTTGAAATACAGTGGACCCCGCCTTACGATATTAATTCATTCCAGAAGTCTGTTCGGGTGCCGTTACCGAACGAATTTGTTCCCATAAGGAATATTGTACATTAGATTAGTCCGTTTCAGACCCCCAAAAATACACATACAAAAGCACTTACAAAAATACAAAAACTGTCATGTGACAGTTGATGAATGTCACATCTGAATGGCTTCAGACTTAGTTCTGGTTTATTTTTGAATATTGATCTCTGCAGTAACTAGAGAATGCCTTTTACTTATTGGAAGATTCAGAGTAGTTTTGGGCAGTGTAGGTGCCAGTTTTCTGTATTTATGAAAAAAAACTGGGATTTTAGTTTCCATGTGATTACTTGTGAATCCTTTAAATGCTGTTATTTAGCTACACTAGAAACTCATGCTGTGCTCTGTACTACATATTCCTTTTGTGTGTATTGAGATATAAAGGGCTGAGCTTGTTGGACACGGGAATACCTCTTTTGGATTGTGTGGTGACTAAAACACTTCTTTTTCTGGGTGCAACTGGGAGTGGAAGAATTTTAACATAAAGCTGCATGTGATTAGCATGATGCAGTTATTTGTTTGCAGACAAAGATGAGTGGCATTATGATGATGATTTTCCAAAATTGTTTTACAGGGCTAGCGGATAATTGGTGTGCTTATTCATTTGGAGATAGGGAAATTGTAATACGCAATTCATCTGACCCCATGGCAGGTATGTTAATAAAGTAGTTATGTGCTTTGTACTCTCTTAGCAGAACTGATTTTACTGTATTAAAATTTATCTTTAAAAAATCTTATCAGTTAAATTCCTCAAAGTCTTCTGCATTCCTAAGATCACCAAAAATATTTTTGTTTTCCTCACCCACTCTCTCCCACCAAGGCAGGGAAAGGAGACATTCATATCTATGATAAAATATTACTTTTGTATATTCTCTGAAACTCTTAAGTAATAGCTTATAAAATTGTCTGAAATATTCTTTAAAAATCTGAAAATAAATTTTGGTAATGCTTGTCATATTTATACAAACTGTATCTTCTGTAAGTTGTTGTTATGATTAATTTTCAATTACTTGCAACTCATAAATTTTTAACCCCTTAGCTATTTGTATTAGGACCTCTACATTAAAGTTTGTTTTTGATATGATGAAGCATGTTAATTAGAATAATACAGACATACTATTAAAAATTATGAATAAGTTACATTGTTAAGTCAAAATCTTGTGGTCTGTGAAAACTAAATAGGCTGGTATAAAAACTTGTTGAGCAACCAGATATCTATTATACATATAGAAAACTCTTAAGTATCACACTTGCGGACCATTTTCATCAAAATAGCCTTAAAAATTTACCCATATATTTATTGAAAGAAGAAAAATCTCATTAGAATGCATGGCAGGAAATTAGATTTTCAAATTTCTTGCCAAGTGGCAAATGTACAACTTGCCTTCCATGACTGGTTATTGTCAATTTCATCATGACATCCACAAGGCCCCTCCTTCCCTGTCCCCTCACCACCACCCACATCCACAAGGCCCCTCCTTCCTTGTCCCCTCACCATCAACCACATCCACAATGCCTCCTTCCCTGTCCCCTCACCACCAACCACATCCACAAGGCCCCTCCTTTCCTGTCCCCTCACCACCAACCACATCCACAAGGCCCCTCCTTCCCTGTCCCCTCACCACCAACCACATCCACAAGGCCCCTCCTTTCCTGTCCCCTCACCACCAACCACATCCACAAGGCCCCTCCTTTCCTGTCCCCTCACCACCAACCACATCCACAAGGACCCTCCTTCCCTGTCCCCTCACCACCAACCACATCTACAAGGCCCTTCCTTTCCTGTCTCCTCACTACCAACCACATACACAAGGCTCCTCCTTCCCTGTCTTCTCATCACCAGCCACCTACCTGCTATTAAGGCCTAGCTTTGGGCAATATTTTTATCCCCAGAAATGGGGAGTTGAAACACTATAGCATGAGTTCTGGTGACCCTGAAAATTCCAACATCACAACTGCCAAACCATGGTAGACAAGCAGAACACTAGAGATGCTACAAACCTTACAAAACAACTACAGCATATTTTATAAACCCTACTATTGCTTAAATTTGTTACTCAGTGTACTGAATATATTGTACTGCAGTGTGAACAATGGCACAGCTTGTAAGAACATTAATTTTATTGATTCTAAATTTTCATAATTCAAAACATTCTATAATGTAAGAAAATTTTATTACTGCTAATGCATGCTTTAATTGAATACAAGGTAGGATAATTTTATTTTTTTTTTTTCCTCCAACATGCAGGCTCTCTCCCACCAAGGCAGGGTGACCAAAAAAAGGACACTTTCATCATCATTCACACAATCACTGTGGGAGAATTTTTTTTTTTTTTAACAAGTCGGCCGTCTCCCACCGAGGCAGGGTGACCCAAAAAGAAAGAAAAAATCCCCAAAAAGAAAATACTTTCATCATCATTCAACACTTTCACCTCACTCACATGCAATCACTGTTTTTGCAGAGGTGCTCAGACCACAACAGTTTAGAAGCATATATGTATAAAGATACACAACATATCACTAAATAAGTGACTATTTAGTGTGAATTGACTGCATCAGTAAATACAAGGGTTAAATTGCTGAATACTTTTCAGATTCAATTCGCTTACACAAACTAGCCCAAGAGATGGATGCTGTGAAGATTCCTAAGGATGTTACTGAATTTTCCTTCAGTCCAGACTACAAATATTTGGCAATTGGATCACAAGATGGGTAGGCTGTTTTTGTTATGCATATTTACCCTGGATTCTCCACTGCATGAAGCAAATTTGTAAGAAATTTTCTTCAGACATCATCATAATTACTATATCTCTTTAGAATACAGTGTTATAGAAATAAAAATAATAAATATTGAAGTGCAGGTATGTTTTCTTACGCTTTTCATTATGTTTAAGGATGAAATTGGTTATTTTTTAAATTGTTACATGTACAGTGGACCCCCGCATAACGATTACCTCCGAATGCGACCAATTATGTAAGTGTATTTATGTAAGTGCGTTTGTACGTGTATGTTTGGGGGTCTGAAATGGACTAATCTACTTCACAATATTCCTTATGGGAATAAATTCGGTCAG